AATAAACAATTTGTATATCATAAGTGTCGTAATTGTGTTTATAATCAAACTTAGTTTTCCTTCGAACATATCGATTGCTAATGAAGTGTTACTATATTAAAATTTATAGGTCTGTTATTAGGTGATTGTGTTCATAAATTGAAAAGAAATGGTTAATAAATTATACAAATCTATTCTGACATGTAACACTTCAGAAATTAAATCTTGGTTTTAAATGTTAGTTATAAGAAACAAAACAGTTTATCCTAAGACATCACACAATTAAGCATAAGAAAGTGGCATATAATTGTTTCTATGTTAATTTAATATAGATGATTTATAAGACAAGTTTAATACTGCTGTTGTACATTTTAAAAACCAGCACAGTTAAATTTGAATATGATTGAAAACAAGCTGGGTTCAACATTTCATTGACAATGCTCCTGATGATGTTGAAATGTTGAACTTTGTTTCAGTACTTGTTTTATAAACTGTATCCATTTCAGCTGTTTTGATTTTGCTATTGATTTTATATTGGGATATCTCCAAATTGTATAAATTAATTACAGCCGAGAAGAAGAGATACAAAAAATAAATAATGATATACCGATACATGTATTAAGTTTTTAGTCCACCTCATGTTCAACGATCGAAGTTTATTTTCTATTCACTTCATTACATTTTCACAACTGAAAAATTTCACCTTAGAATGTTACAATTTCTGGCCATTAAGTTAAGAAAACCAGCTCTTAACCAGAAGATAAGTGCACTGCTACAGCTTCAATTCTGAACGTGTGAAGAAAATAATAGAACACTCTCTTTGATCATTGATACATACATTCTAAATAGCCTTTGGAATAAACTGATGCACTTGAAATGCCTTAATAGAGATCCATATAAAACAAATGGTTATAATTAAATATCACCACCATTACAGTCTGAAATAGAGGAAGAATATTATCATTAATACTCCAGGAGTTCTCTTTGTTCATGTTATCATCTAGCAGACAAATGGAATGTGTAACTACAGGATAGTAATTTAGAAAAAAAACATTGAAAATTTGTAATAACCATTTTATCTTGAGAAATATTGATCTAGAAGTTACAAGATAACTTGAGTTAGTAAACACCTATTTTTTGTTCTTTCAGAGCTTTGTGGCATTAGAAGCAAACTGAAATACCACTTGAATGTTCACTAATAAAAACAAGTATTTTATTTTATTTTTCATTTTGAGCTCACAGGACCTCATCGACACAAATGTAATTAAAGAGTTGTTGAAGTAGCAGATTTTTCATGTTATTCTAATTTTGACATAAGTTACAAAACACAAGTATAACACGTTAATAACTTCAACACAGCTATTTAAACACCTAGCATATTAGATCACATTTCAATTAAGTACAAAAACTATGAAAAACTTGCACATAGTTGATTTTTACCTTTGGTAGAGTAGAAAGCTGGTTACCATCCAACCAAAGCTCTCGAAGACTCTTTAACTGACCAACGAGACCAGGCTAAAAACATTAATAGAAAATATGTCAGTAAATGAAAAATTACATTCATTATTCTTCCAATTTTGAAACTAATGATACAAAAATAAAAAACAATAGAAATTTCATTTTTTTTTGCAATGGGATATTGTTTTAAGAGCCAAATTAGAAGCTGAGGCAGTATCATTACGTATACAATACTTCTAAGCCTATTAATCACAAACTTAAGAAGGGGTACCAGTATTAATTAAAACAAAATGATACGTTTGTGTGTGTGCATACAATAAGTCAGTGCAGAATAGGAAACCTTACAATCATAAAACTGATTATACAAAGTCAAAATTCTACCTAAGCCAACTGCTTGAGTGTTGGTCAGCTTCTGACTTTTTTAATTTTAAAACTTATATGTCTTAAGACCAGTTTTACAATTTTAAGCTTTTACATCTTTATTCTTCTAGTCAAGTAGATCTGGAACACTTACAAGTTCTTCAAATTCATTGTTACCAATATCAAGGCATTCCAGTTTGGTTAACAAAGCAAACGACGGTGGTAAGTTTTGTAAGCAGTTCTCCCGCATTTCTAATGATTGTAGGTTGACCAGGCTAAATGAAACAAAGTACATTTGATAGAAAAATTTAACTTTAATAGATAACATTTAAAATCCATGAATTACTGAAATAGCTAGATCCTCAAAATTACAACCAATAAAAACTGTATGATATTTAATGTATGGAAACAAACGTGTAAAATTTAGAGATTTTAAAATGAAGGAGTAATATCAATTCATCATGTGTAAGCCACAATATAAAAAATGAGTAAACACTCAACTTCAATAAAAAATAAATTATCATTCACTACTAATAATGTAAATATTTCTAAGGTCCACACAAAGTGGTATTTTGCTCTTCTTTCAATAACACTTTTTAAAGGATTACAAAATACAAACCCATTACTATAAATATATCATCCGTTTTAAAATTTTAATAAAATCAAAAATTACTTTTTACACTTTACATAATTCTAAATGAAAGAGCTAGATAATATTTTACACTGGTTATTTTTTTTTTACAAATCTTGATAAATATCTACACATGATGAGGTTTCCTAGACAACATATTAACTCTGACCAATAAGGTGGGATTAATATGGGATTTAAATAAAATGTGCAGAAATGTTTTTCCTTTGTGTTTCTAAGCATACAACCAGTATAATGCATACTTGTCATTTGCCTGTTTCATAAATATCAACTTTACTTAATTTAAAATCACGGTATACTCATATAGTACACCACTGTTAGGGGTTATACGTTAGTATAGAATCTGTATGTTTCATAAACATAATTCCTTTTGAACTAAATCTGTATGTAAAAAGAAATAGTTTTAAGTTAATTTTACAATGCTAGAGGGAATAAAATCTAATTCTCAAAATTAGACCATTTTCATAGATGTATCTTTCTTGGTCTAAGTTAAAAAAGGAATATTGTTCTCTCTATATAGCATAATCATTAACAGTCTCAATTTTTTTTAACATTTGTAGCATAAAAACATTTTTTTGGTTAACAGTGAAACCATATCCTTCCTTCTGATATCATTTTCCTTCTGTACAATTTAAGTTATGAATACATCATCAAGTAATTTCTTTTCTACTGTTGCTGCTTCTTTCATAGAATTCTTCAAAAATTAGCTAAAACAATATTAAAACTGGAATTCTTTCACAAGTGTTTAATTGACAAATTTGGTACTAAAAAACAACAACATTGATTAGTCACATTATTAACCTTGAAGCTTACTGCAGCAAACTCAACACATTTAAAACTGCACCTGGTTCACCATAAGAAAGAAAGAAAGACTAATCTTACGTGGAACATCACTGATTAACTTACTTTCCAATGTCACTGGGTAGCTGTGCAATGTAAACATCGTTAAGACCCAGAAATGTCAAGTTTTTCAACTGGCAAAAAGCTGGTGGAAGTCTATTACAGAAAAAATAAACATATGTTTTCAATAATAAACTGTTTGAATGAAATAACAGTGAAAATCTACTACCTATGCTCTTTATAATAGGGGCTAAGAGTTTTCACTTTTTGGATTAATGGTGTAAACTTAACAGAAACTCACAGTGAATTTACCCATAATAATGGCAGTCTCTCCTAGTTTGTTGTAGTATTTGAATGTTTGTTGACACTACATAAACAGAAAAGCTAATGCAAAAATAACTATTTACTACACACTAAGCAGAATGTGATAAACCATCCAAACCGAGCAGGGTGTGCTAAACCATCCAATCCGAGCAGAATGTGCTAAACTATCCAATCCGAGCAGAATGTGCTAAACTATCCAATCCAAGCAGAATGTGCTAAACTATCCAATCCGAGCAGAATGTGCTAAACTATCCAAACTGAGCATGATGTGCTAAACTATCCAATCCGAGCATGATGTGCTAAACTATCCAAACTGAGCATGATGTGCTAAATTATCCAAACCAAGCAGGATGTGCTAAACTACCCAAACTGAACAGGATGAGCTGACCTATCCAAATCGAACAGAATGTGCTAAACTATCCAAACTAGGTGGAACATGATAAACTGATATAGGTCAATATAAAACAAAAACAACGTTTTGTTAAGGAGGTATCTTATAAATCACTGAAATTGTTACAACACTAGTGGATGGTGCTAAATGTGTTTCAAGTATACAGCAGCAGTTTGCCTTTAAAACTGTACCTAAGTTCTCATTCCTGTGGTATACTTTCAAAGGGTCAAATTTCTGCAGCATTGTCTGATAACTAGAGAAGCAAGCCACTGATAATATAGTGTGCAAATCAGATTTTGGTAATTCAAATAACAATAAATATTTTAATTAGAATCTAGAAGCTCAGTTCTTATACTTCAAAATAACCTCTTTCCAAAAAATTCCCTTTCCATCTTCCAAATTATCTGTGCAGTCAATCTGCAGATAAAGAAAAAGTTGATATTTTCCGAGCTTAAAAGAATGAATGATAAAGTGGGAACATTTTTGTTCCAGCAAATTGTGTAGTGTACGGCATGTTAATCAGAGATGTTAGCTCTCCTGCCTTGACCATTAGGTTTAAGAACAGTGGAAAGACCATCTGACAGAGTAATGAATCCCACTACTCAATTTTTTCCTTCTGAAAGAGACACCTAGTGTCAGAATTTAAACTAATATATAACTTTCCTTTTTGCCAACTGTCAAACAGAAAGGCTTTTAGTTATATTTCTTAATAGTATAAATATATACTATGTTGTTGTTGGATTTTACTACAGTAGGTGTCTGTGACTTGTTAGCTATAAATTCAATGATAAATAAACAGCAAGCACTTCACTTGTTTTCAAAATAATACATACATTCGGAACAAGTTAACATATGTACAATAAATTCTTCAACACTATAGATATTATGAGTATATTATAAATACTATATATGTAGTTATCTCATTGTCAAATATCCACTTAGGCCTATTCAATTACTTTAGAATTTCAGTTGACAAGCCAACCTATTTTATCTATTTCTATTGCACTAGTACTCTCTGTGATTCACTCTCTGTGGTGCGAGTTACTGTAATCATTTGGTCTTCTTTATTTTGAAGATCCTCTGTTCCTTTTGTCAAAGTGCACTCAGGCTGATTCAATTACTTTAGAACCACACTTTGACGGAATAAAATTATTTTTCTTATCTTCTTTTCTACTGTTAGTTTCACTCTAACATATTAAACGTTAGGCCTATCACATTTATGGTACTTAACTTCACACCAACTTTATTCTCTTTTGCTATTATCTGTCTGCTTATGTCTGTCTGTTGCTTCCCGCTCATCTCATGCTATTTATATCTTTATTACCTAATCATCTGTCCTCCTTCTATGTTCTTGATGTCAATGAATTATTAACAAAACTTCCTACAATTGTCTGCTTTTAACTCTTATTATAACAAAAACTAAACAATAATAAAACATTCATTCACAAAATTAAATGAATCAATAATATCTGAACAAAACAGTCTTTTATATCATGACACCTAGGTTTGATGGCAATGCAGCAAATGCTTTGTTTGTGACTGTTTCATCCTAAAATGACAAGTATTGAGGGTAGTGTCATGATGGGGGGGTATGGTTTAGCTAGTATGGATTTTGTCCAATGGCAAAAACCATGTGTGTAATGAATACCTTGTTTAATGTGACCAGTCTACACAATACTGCACCGTATACATTAATGTACGTGATGTGTGTCCAGGTTGTATTTAAGACTGAAGGCCGACCAAACCTTAATTAAAATGGAGTCCTAGAAATGATACAAGAAACCCTTCTTTATAAGGACTTTTTTGTCCTTATACTTATATTTCTATGTGTACAGTCTACCATACAGAATCTGTTAAGAAAATACTACTTACTTCGTAAGATGGTTGATACTGAAATCTGCAACTTCCAAACACTTGAGATATTTAATGTTGTCAGGAAGGTGATCAAGGTCTGAAATTTTAAAAAAACAAAAAACATTTATTTCATTCTCAATGGACAGTGGGCAAAATTTAAAAGAAGGCACAAAGCTTCAAAAACTGTGAATTATAATATTATGACAAACATGAGTATCGCATAAATACAGTAACAATTACTGTTGCAGTAATGACAAATATATTTAGTCTTTGAATCACTTGAGATCTTAACTCAGATTCTTAACTGGTATATGAGATTTGTGCAAGAAAGTTCTGTTTTCAACTTTTAGAAAAATAAAACTTAACAAGCTTCAGTGTTAAACAGCATATGTGTTTATATAGATTAGAAAACAAAAGCCTTAATCATATCAAGAATAAAAGGCAAAAGAAAAAACCTGAGAACAGAGCACTTTTGTTCCTTCTTTAGAGGTGAAATAAGTTTAGTGTCTAAAACACTCAGGTTTCTTGTTTTGGGGATGTGAAAAGTATTGTGAGAAACATATTTAAATCTTCTACCAGAAGTAAGGCTTCTTAGTGAGTGAATGTGAAGAAGCTTTTTTTTACTTATAATTGTAACAAAAGGTTGGAAATATAAAGTTAAGAGTAAAATGATTCATATACAATCAGATGATATTCAAAAACCTTAACCTTTTATAATAAAGAACACCTATTCAAACAAACAAAATGTGTCAATACTATAATGTACACAGTTGTGTAATGTTTAAATTTCCCATGATTCAATTAAATTAGTTAGACATAATGAAGTCACAATTTACAAATAATACAAACTACATGACCCCACAGACACGTTAACTTACTTATTGTACCACCTATATAGATTGAGAGACTGGAAAAGGATTAGTTACATGAAAATATAACTAAATTAAACAAAGTGTTCCTCTTAATTCAGGAAGCATCATGAAATCTGCTGTAATAATTTATCATTCACTCTTTTGTAGTGTTTGAGAAAATCAAAAGATAAACACATCATGATGTTATTCTTCCAACAACAAAAACACATTCTGATTAGTTGTGTACAATGATTTGATAGATACATAAACACATCATGATGTTATTCTTCCAATAACATAAAAACACATTTAGATTAGTTGTATACAATGATCTGAAAGCTATACAAATACATCACGATTCTGTTCTTCCAACAACAACAAAAACACACATTCAGGTTAGCTGTGTACAATACTCTGAAATACACACAGTGAATAAAATAGTTTAATATTATAGGATAACAAAGATGCAACAAACTAATTATTCACTAAATGAAACTCTGTGCTAAGAACACTTGATATTCTGATAAGTATCAGAGAAATTATATGTGAATCAAACATTTTTCAAAGGTAATATTTACCAACATAATTATACGTATCCATAACAAACTTATGAAAGAAATTCAGGTTATTCAGAGATTATTACAGAATCTCTGGAGAGGGCAGCAAGCACCTTCCAATAATGAAAAACAAATGCACTATCCTTAACATTGGGGAGAATCTTACAATTTCTTGAGGTCAAATAAGGTTATATTCTTGTTACAAATGCTTTCCATTGATACAGTAAAAATGTTGCATTTTGAGAAACTTTAACTGTTCTTTCTTTGGAAGTTATCAAATACTTTCATATTCTATCACACTTAACTGTTTGTTTTTTAATTTTGCACAAAGCTACACGAAGGCAATCTGCACTAGCCGTCCCTAATTTAGCAGTGTAAGACTAGAGGGAAGGCATCTAGTCATCACCGCCAACTCTTGGGCTACTCTTTTACCAACGAATAGTGGGATCGACCGTCACATTATAATGCCCCCACAGCTGAAAGGGCGAGCATGTTTGGTGGGACGGGGATTAGAACCCGCAGATTGCGAGTCAAGCACCCTAACCACCTGTCCATGCCAAGCCACACTTAACTAATTTTAAGATAAGTGGTTATTTTTGAAGTATTAGAAATGACTGTAGCTTTTCTTGTACCATTACCTTTACCTGAAGATGGTGTCATAGGACACTCAAACATATGTAGTCTTTTTTAGGGCAAGTCCCTGTTTTTAATAACTATTTATTGTGTAATGATTTTAACTTTGTATTCTTTTTGTTGTAAATATACACTTTATGTGGTGATTAATAATTTATTTTTCATATTATTGTCGAGAATGAGTGCTATGAACAGTATATTAACAAAGATAAGTGAAATTTAATATGTGTTATCAGACATTCACCCATTTTCAAACCATTTCACGCTTGTGCTCCACAGTGTTATATGCAAAAAACATAGAAATGGAGAGGATTACATTCAAATTATGGAATTGGGATACAGGCCTTATGGTTGTGAGAGGAGAGATACAACCCAACGTTGCTTTTAATTTTTCTCTTGACCTGTGCACGAACATGTGTAACACACGAGTATTTCATCTTTTTCTTGTAATTCTACGCTACCTAAGCCATTATTTGATGAATTTCTCTGTATGTTTTGTGTTTGAACTGCTGGACCAATTGTCAACATACCTGACATGTACCTTTATGGACCCCTGGCAAATGACACAATGTGGTTGCAATTTCGATTTGACACCTCAGTGTGTGACTATGTCATCTCTAAGTTCCATATGTGCCTCCATGTTATTCTATTGATCTAAACCAAACTTGGCATGCACCCTCCTGGAATGACTTAGTGTTTGCATTCTAAACTGACCCCTTTATGTCACTACCTGTTGCCCCTATGTCTTCCCAGAGCATTGAACGTGTAGTCAGCTTCCCTGTGTGACCGATGGATGGATACATCAGCTAGTAAACAGTCTTTCTTTGCTGGTTATAAATACTATTAAATACTTAAGAACATACTACAGTACTATAGAATGATATTCAAACAAGAAACACTGCAACTTACATGTTCACAATAAAATGTAGCATTTTGATTCATAAAAGAAACACAAGGTAACCAACAAAGATTGTTAAAATATACCAATAATTGGCATAACTAACAGCCCAAGAGTACAGTTTGCAGACATCAGCATGTTCTTAGATAAAAATTTATAATAAGATAAAACAAGGTGCTTCAATCTTCCCTGACTTTTTCCCCTTCCCTTTTATCAAATTTCCCGACTTTTCAAATTCGTAACTATTCTGGTAACGCAATCACGCTTTGGGTACACGTTGTAAGTATAGTTTAAAACTTCGCTACTAGATGACACGACCTGCATGGCGCAATAACTAACCAGCGCAATATGAATAATTAGTGAAAATATTAAGTGAAGTATATTATAGGTCTGTTACTTATTACACTTTGTCTCACTTCTTCACAGAATTAAAAAAAATCAGAGGGATTTAATAAAAACTTAATGTGTAGGAACTGGGAGAAACTATATGAGAAACGTGAAGACGTGCTGATCGGTTAACCGAAGGCTTACTGAGAAAGCACGTGGGAAGTCATGTGGAACGATTACGTGTTATTGTTTAGAACCATGAACAGCTGGTAAGGTATAATGCTTCATCAAGTAAAAGGTCCGTATTATACTTCCGTTACAATTTCGCAACAATATCTTTAAAAAAAAATTTCAATTCTTCATTAGAGCTAAAGTAAGGAAGAATATGTCAACCACACTATATCTACTATAACCAGTGCCGTAGAGGCTTTTCCGTCAATACCAGTGTTCATCAATCAAGTCAAATGGGTTACAGGGCTGCCGAGAGGTTTCGATAGGTTTCATAGTAGTTGTCGAGAGATTATTTATATCATCAATTACTTTAACAAAGATAACTAGATTAAGTTGGTAAATTGTAATTTTGATCAATTTTATAACACATTATCATTCGGATTACAATTTTTATTAACATTAAATTGTTTATTATTAATATTATTTATTTGTTTTAGTTAAATGAACTTTACTCATTACTTAGAAGAACTGGCGAATCGGAAAACTATACCAAAGCTAGCTGTTGATTTTTACCGTAGCCGAGATTATTCTAGTAACTGTACTGAAGCTAGCTGTTGATTTTTACCGTAGCTGATATTATTCTAGTAACTGTACTGAAGCTAGCTGTTGATTTTTACCGTAGCTGATATTATTCTAGTAACTGTACTAAAGCTAGCTGTTGATTTTTACCGTAGCCGAGATTATTCTAGTAACTGTACCAAAGCTAGCTGTTGATTTTTACCGTAGCCGAGATTATTCTAGTAACTGTACTGAAGCTAGCTGTTGATTTTTACCGTAGCCGAGATTATTCTAGTAACTGTACTGAAGCTAGCTGTTGATTTTTACTGTAGCCGAGACTATTCTAGTAACTGTACTAAAACTAGCTGTTGATTTTTACCGTAGCCGAGATTATTCTAGTAACTGTACAAAAACTAGATGTTGATTTTTACTGTAGCCGAGACTATTCTAGTAACTGTACTAAAACTAGCTGTTGATTTTTACCGTAGCCGAGATTATTCTAGTAACTGTACTAAAGCTATCTGTTGATTTTTACTGTAGCCGAGATTATTCTAGTAGAATTTTGTTTGTTTGATTGTAATTAAGTACAAAGCTACACAATGGGCTATCTGTGCTCTGCCTAGCACGGGTATCGAAACCCGGTTTCTGGGCGATGTAAGCCCGCACGTATACCGCTGTGCCACTGGGGGGGGGGGCTCAAGTAGAATTTGAAATTTCAACACGAACGACACCTTTTGCGCACGTGTGCTAAATGACGAGGCAAAGAGGCCCCCATTCAAGTCCGGCTCACAGGGAATGGAAACGATATTATAAACTTGTAAATCTTTGCTATAAATACATATATAAATTAAACAATTCTTTCATAACATGTTTGGTCTTGTTGCTTTTAACGCAGTCCTTCCTTTGGATGTTAATATTTAATTAACTGTTGAAATATGTTTTCTTTTACTACACACACACACACACACATATATATATACTTGAACGTGATATTGTCTTAAAACACGAAATGATTTGGACTAGAAATTACAATTTACTTCAGAAGCACCAGCAAAATAACCCAACGACACTATACACCTTCCGTGAAGTGTGAAAATAACTA